GGGGATGGCCACGCCGCAATCCCTTCTCCTCCATTCTCCTCTCGGGATCTTGGGCATGCACGCACACGCGCCCGGCGTGAGTTTTAAGCCACCGGGTCTGGGACGCGAACCACGGTTGACTATGTGGGAGTCCAGTGACACAACCATTACGCTAACTGCTGGTTCCTGGTCCCTTAAATTTTTAAAAAATGGCTTTACTGGTTGGAAAGCTTCATTTACATCGGCAGTTTTTACTGAAATAGTAGAGTAACCATGTGTACTAACGTATTAGTAGTTGCTGTTCCTTAGAGGGTATATAGATCTTTTTTCTTTTTTTGAGAGATTTTCGCTATAGGGCACAAGCGCTTGCCAGACAGACAGAGACAGAGAGACAGAAAGTGAGAAATCACCCCCCCGGGGGGATGGTCACGCCGCAATCCCTTCTCCTCCATTCTCCCCTCGGGATCTTGGGCACGCACACACACGCGCCCGGCGTGAGTTTCAAGCCACCAGGTCCGGGACACGAACCGCGGTCGACTACATGGGAGTCCAGCGACATAGCCATTTTGCTAACTGCTGGTTCCCATGGGGTATATAGATCTTAAATAAACGTTTTAAATGAAAAGCCACGGGTCCTGATCTTGGCCTGCGGCTCAAGCTTGCACTGCGTTCTGTCCAGAGCAGCAGCTGCCTCACTCAGGGCTGATGGCTTCTAGGGACACCACCCCCGCAGCTGCAGGGCCAGGACATCCCCAGAGCCACATCTGCAGGCCTTCCTGGTGGCACCCGGCCTCAGGACCAGGGTGTAGGGTGGGGCTGGCCGGGGTACTTCACACCTGCAGACCCGCTTTCTGGCGCTCAGGCAGGTGTTCGGGGTCCCGCGGTCGCCCTTACTCAGACTCCGTGCTAGTGCCCTGGCTGTCAGCCTCCACGGGGCTGAGCCTGCACAGCCGGTCCCTGACCCAGACACACAGGTGGTCTCCAGATCCTGGAGCTGCCACTGCGCGTGCACGTAGGGAAACACCTGTTGTTTCTAGGGCTTCTCCGGGTAGACAAGTAGCATGTGGATAGTGTTTAAGAAGCAAATGTGGAAACGTAGAAAGGGCAGGTTTTCTCTTCGCCTGGAGACAGCCAGTGGTCCCGTGTGCTCCAGAGTTTTACGACACGGTGAAGGTCCTTTTCTGTACATTTGGTTCTCCTATCCAAGCACTTCCTCAGAATGTGTTCTTAGAAATGAAGTTGGAGAGTCAAAAGAAA